ATGGGATCCACAGGCAGGTGTCGGGACAGAGTGACCCGCTGAGGGACAGTGGTGGCCTTTCCCGGGGGCTGCGAGGAGGCCTGTGGGCTCCTGCTCATCCCTCAGGGGCCCTGTTGATTGGGAAGAGCCGTGTCTACGTGTCATTGGAGCGATTTTCTTCCATATACAACACAGCACTTCTCTCAGCTCGAGCAGGATGCTTTGCTGCCAGCTGTGGTCTCATTTACGTCGGGGCTTTAAGTTTTTGTATTGATTGCTTCCTTCTGGACGGCCAGAGTGTATCCTCATTATCCTGACAGAAAGTAAAGAATTTCACATTATTCAGTACATTTTTGGAGCTCTCAAGATCTTGTTTTGCACTCACATACACCAATCAAACTTTTAATGAGTTGCCAATTAACATTTCTGCAGAATAGAAATCATCTATTCATGCAGTGGCTTTGCTAGCTGAAGATTTTAGGAACTGGTGTTTTCACAGCTGCAGAACACAAAAGTGTTCACAGATGCTAACCAAATGGACTAAGCTGAAGACATTTTATTTCCCAATTGATGTTTTAAAGGGCACTTTCCTGACAATTTTTCCTCTTTATATTTTATGACTGTGCTTACATTTGATTTCTTTGTATTTGCTGAATAGGAATTAACCAGTAAAGGAGAACATTTGAAAACCTGAAAATAGTCATCAGCATAAATTAAGGAGGATTGTTTTCACAAATTACTACCTGAAATGGCTTGTAGAAGTATTCTGCAGTGTTTCAAAGTCTTGTTTATCTTGTTCTTCACTATAGGATGTAAGAGAAATGTCTTGATACCTGTTTCCAGCAAGCATTTTAACAATGTGTAATTCAAATACTGTTGAGCAGGTCCCCAGTTTCTGGATGGTCGATCTGTATTATTGTTTACTATACACTTTCCTTGTGAGTTACTCAGAATCTTGAAGACTTCACAAAAATGCCCTAGAAACCACATGCAGAGACATGTCAAGTATTGGAGCAGAGCTAGGCTTGGCTAGTACTGGCCCTAAGCACTGGCAGTGGTATCAGGCATGAAATTCTGATGCTGGTGTAAAGAGGAACCCTGCCTTTCAGCTGGGCCAGGATGTTATTTCGTTCCCTCTGTGGAGCAGGACTCATCTAAGCCAGAATATGCCTGTGGTGGGTTAGCCTTGGCAGGCCACCACATGCCCACCGAGTCCCTCTATCACTTCCCTTCCTCAGCAGGACAGGGAGAAGATGAAAAACTCATGGGTTGAGATTAAGGCAGTTTGATAAATAAAAGCAAAGCCTGTTCTTGGAATCAAAGGAAAGCAAAAAGATTTATTCTCTATTTCCCATCAGCAGGTGATGTCCAGCCACTTCCTGGGAAGTAGGGCTCCAGTATACATAGCAGTATAGCAGTTGCTTTAGAAGACAAACATTAATAATGAACGCCCCCACCCCCTTCCTTTTCTCTTAGCTTTTATTGCTGAGTACCACATCATATGGTATGGAATATCCCTTTGGTTGTTTTGGGTCAAGCTGTCCCTGCTTTGTCCCCTCGCAGCCTCTTGTGCACCTCCAGCCCACTGGCCTTTGTGGAGGGCAAGGCCCGGTGCTGTGCCAGCACTGATCAGCAGTAGCCCAAACGCTGGTGTGTTAACAACAACCATCTAGCTGCAAACACAAAGCACAGCTCTGTGTGAACTGCAGTGGGGAATGTTAACTCCATCACAACCAGACCAAATAGAATGCCTCAACTCCTGCGTGGCATCCCTGTCCTTTTTATAAACAGCCAATCTAAACCCAGAAGAAACAGGCTAGATAATTACATAGGGTAATTGCATTCTGACCTCTCCCACTCTCAGCTTAGTTTGGTGTTTGAAAATAGCAAATCCTTGACTTCTGTATGTGTTTACTTCATAAAAACTTTTTAAGATTTTGCAAAAATTAAAGCATAAAAATATATTGAGGGGGGAAAAAAAGCTGTTAACATTTAGTGGAACTGGCTATACCTAGGATAAACAAGCCGAAATAGCAGAAAAAATTTTTGTGAATCTGGAAAATGCACTGCCAGCAATCAAAGAATTGATCACCAGCACATACCTTTATGGAACCAATCTCATCTCTGCCAGCCTTGTTTCAGCAGTGTCTCCTATTTTCCTGAAATCCTTCAAGCCAGAGAAAAATGACTGCACAAGAATGCATTCCCACCCGTAAGATTCCTGAGGAAACTACCTGTTTTACCAAGAGACCTAAGCATGGATGTGGACCTCCAGAAGAAAGACTTCCCCAAGTAGTTGTTTGTCTCCAGGTGAATTTAGAGTGTGGTCTGTTTGTTTATTTTTTTAATGGTGCCTTATCTCTGGGTCGTCAGCAAGGATGCATTAAGGCAGTAGCAAAGTGTCAAACAGAAGACAGCCAGTGTTAGAGAGGCAAACTGGAAATAGTTTAAAAGAGAAAGAGTAAATTAGTTATCAGAGGAAATAAAAACCTTTAACCTTATGGATACAACTATCCATTCATAATAACATTAAGAAAATTGTATAGGTATCCTAAACTATAAAATCACCCAGTTCTCAACAGGGCAGAATGAAATCAACTCTGGGCACCTGCCAGAATATGAAAAAACAAACAAACAAAAAAAAAAACAACCAACGAACCAAACCAAAGTATGTGCAAGAGGGCACCTGATGAGCAGACTGGTAGTAAGTGCAGTAGTGCAAATGTGAGCAGGGATTGCACGGTTCTGCACTCTACACGCAGGCTGCTTTTCTCTCTTTAGTTTTTGTCCACCAGGTGTCATCTGAGAAGCACCTGATAGCTATCAAAGGCCTAGCTTTTGTATTCTTTTTTTCCAGAAACCAACAGCAGGTAACATAGCCTGCACTCGGCCCTCTGGCTGTTTCTACTGCACTCTACAGGATGATCTGATCTCACCCCATTCTAGTACCTTCAGCTCCCTTTCATTTGATGAGGACTGAGACTGGTCATCACTCCTCCCTGTGAGGCCTGTCCTGGAGTTCTAGCAGACCGGACAGCTTGGACATAGTTTGTTGCTCTGCTGTCACTGCTCAGTGTCATAGTCTCCCAGTACCTTGTCCTGCTAGTGCCTAACTTGCTCCAGAAGTCTAGGTGCTCCAGACTAGACAGTGGCAGTATAGAAGATCTCTTTTCTGTTCCCAATGTGAGTGCCTGTTCCACTCATCCTAACTCATTTTTGCATAAAGCTGTGCTGTAGGAAGTAAGGAATTTGGAGCCATGATGGCAAGGATCGGTAGCTTGGCTTTCATGTTTTATTCTGAAGGCATCTCCAAAAAACCTGAAAGACAACATACAGAAAGAGGCTTGGAGTCAGTAGTTCAGTTTGAGTAAATGCTTATAGAAGAATTTAACTGGTAGGAATTTAAAAAAAAAAAAAAAAAAAAAAAAAAAAAAAAAAAAAAAAAAAAAAAAAAAAAAAAAAAAAAAAAAAAAAAAAAAAAAAAAAGCTATATTCATAATGTTCACAGAAGTATCTGCTCATCTAAACAAGCATTTCCTTTTTTGTAAAACACAGCCTATATCTTTCAAAGAAATAAACCTTTATGTGAACCCCGAGTGAAGTCTAGGTTCCACACTAAAAGTCAAATGAGAGATCAAAAGGGGAATGAAAAAACCTGAACAAATCCCTGTGACAAATCCAAGGGTGCCAAATGAACAGGAGAACATAGTTTTAGTTTTCTTGACTCTCTTCTGATTGTTAAATGTGTAAATGAAAACTGAATCTAATATCTTAATTCATCCTATTCCTTCCTTTTTTTCCTCCAATTCTTTCCTTTTTTCATTCTCTAGAATTTCCTCCTATATTTTCACAGAATTTCCTATCCTTGTCACTTCCATAATTCCTTATTCGTCTCCCTTTCTTGTTATAAAATGAAAAGAAAATGTTTCCCACAACTGTTCTTGAAACAAACAAACCACAAGAAATAGCAGGGGTGCCAGCAAAACAAACAATTCCTAATGTGTTACATAAGTCTCAAAGGTTTTCTTAAAATCTTTCTCAATGTGATGAGGGTGATAGTCCTAAGTTCAAGACCCAGTCTTCAAAACCTTCCTTCTTAGGTCTGGTAACCAGAGGACTTAAATGTGCACTGGCAAAATTACAGAAACGTCTAGGCTTGGCGAAACCTCAACACAGCAAAAAGCTGGATGCTCTCCCTGGTACACATTTGTATATTCAATCAGCAACCCTAGCAGCTGCTTGTGTTTGAAACTGGCACACTGCATAGGTCACACTACTGACAGCATCAGTCACGTTGCAACTTCAAGACCCTTCTCAGCAGCTGTCTCTGCCACTTCTTTTTCATCATGGGTTTTTAACTTATCAGCTTCTATGCTAC